ATGATGATGATGATGATGATATGACAAACGAGCGTAAAGCACAGAAAAATAACCGCGAGTTCTCAAACTCTCCGTTCTGGCAAATACGTATAATGCAACATTGACAGGATGTGGATTTCGCCTTGTTTATTCTACGACCACTTTCCTAAAAGAAACTCCCCAAGAAAACCTGCAAGTGTTGGGAAGAGTCCTAGACGATGCTTGATTCAGAGAATGCTACCTGTGACTACTAATCGTAATCAACACGGTTACCTTTGGAGGGAACAGTGAGCGGGGCATTGGCGTACACTAGGTATTTGATTAATGTCATTGTGGTACGGAAAGCCTCTATAACTTCCAATTTTCCGATAGCCATTCTCTACAGATAGGATAAACCGTCTTCGGTTGGTGTAAACTAAAGGTGCTACTTGTTTCGGTCTCTAGAGTTCAAAGCTTGTGAAAAACAGCTTAAAAATAACCCTAGACACACACGCAAAGCTGATAGCCTTTTTCTGACACAATGTGATTTTGGCCTTAACACAAGTTATCTAATCATCAGGCTTAATTGGCATCCACATAACCTAACAGATTTCTGGCGTTTATGTTGATACTAAACAAAAGCATCCCTCGGGACTTCCGTCACGTAGTAACACAACCAAGAGTGCCACTTTGATGCTAAGTCACAGGCGTATATTCTCTAGTATATCCTTCCGCAGTCTGGTTACCAACGGGATCCTACCAATCCCTGTTTTTCATCATGTCAACAGACAATACCAAAGCCGTTTTTGGTACTTGAATAGCGGCATGCACGAAATTCTGTGTCTGTCAGGTTTCAAAGCCCTCAGCTTGTCAAAGTTAACATGTTGAAAGCTGATGGATTTACAAGACTCTTATCTTTTAACCAGTTGTTTTAACCGTATGATTCCTGTGCGTACAACTACAACAGTAGGCGTAACTATAGGTGAAAGAAAGAAGGCCTTCGGTGCGGAGCTATTTCATAGAAAACGCCAAGTGAGCAGTTACATACTATTGGACAAAAACTAAATATCCGTCTTCTCTTTGAACGCGTCCTCGTGAACTTTCCTGGATATTCAATGACTGTTGCTCAAGTGCAAGCGAATGCGACTTCACAAATTCTGTAATAGATCTCACTTTTCAAGAGACGCGAAGAGGATTTACAAGGAAATATACTACTCGCATGCATCCATCAGTAGTATCCACCGTTGCACAAGTACCAATATTTCGAAATAACACAAGAAAGGCGATATTTGTTTTGGACATTATCTCAATCTCACATTGAATAAAGTATCCTACGTCAGGCGCATTCATTCAGCACTTCCAATTTACCGCAAGGATAGCAATTTTACTTCTACCCTGAATAATACTTTTTGGATCAAGCGGTGCGTTTTCAGACGGATATTTTCGTAACCAAAATGCATTAAAAAACTGACGCATTCCTATTTCCTGAACGTGGATAAATCCCCGCAAAGGTTCCAAATATATGGGGCGCTACATTTGTCAATAGTATTAAAAACAAGGGATGAATGCAAAATAGGAAATTTATAATCTGAGTTTCATTCACTGGCATACCTTAGGTAAAATGACTGAGTTTAGTCAAAAGCATTGTGGTGAGCTCATGTCAGAAGCTTTCCTTTAAATGTGTGAAGTTTGGACCTTATTATCACGTGCATATTTTTCATTCGTTTCTGCTGTTTATCTTTCTCAGTTGTAGAATCCTGTCGTGCATTTTTCCTTGTTTTTCCCTTCCAGTTTTTGGTGTTCTCAATACATTCACCTAGCTTCTTCTGGCTTCTTGTGTCACCTGACGAGTTAACGTATCCGAGTGGACAAACTGTCGGCCTCTCAGAAATCTGCACCATTTTCCATTCCACTATATATGTATGTATATGTATCACTACAGTTTATTTTTCTCCAGCCTAACTAGGTAGGTTATTTCTAATTAAACGAGGTCAAAAATAATCAACTCGGTAAGCGTATTTTCAAGTTTATTTGTCACCTCGTTAATGCTACCTGTCTTTTGTTAGTGCTGTATACTTATACTCATTGATGCTTCTCTCATAGCAAGCAAGGCCATCAACCCACTCTAGGAATTTTTTCAAAAAAGAATTATTACTCAAATATTCAATTTTCCTACATTAGCTTAATACCTAAGCAACATTGAGACCACAGCGACCAAAGTTTAGTCATTCTTATTTGTTTGCGCTGTTTGTGTTTTATATTCCATGACTATTTATCGCCAAGCACTCTTATGATTATAATATTCGGACATCCTGTTACTCGCACGGGACCTGTTGAAACATTTTATATATATTACTCTAACAAAATGCAACCAGAAAGCGTTGCTAGGGCATTTGGTTCGCTAGGGTTCTGATATCACCATAACGACCGTATGGCGCGTCTAATTTTGTATATAACCTACATGGTAAACGTTTAGCAACGCCTTGGACATCTGATACATATATATGCATATATGCATATATATATATATATATATATATATATATATATATAGCCCTGATTCGCTCATCTTGAGGCTACTGCTCAGTTGATAGGGTCTGTTTTGAAAATAAGTGGGTGGATTTATAGTCAAGAGACGTATGGCACCAGTGTATCATCCAGGCATCTAAATCTGCTTTTGTATCGCCTAGTACGAGGTATTTTCCTGCATAAAGATGTCGCTTGGTACTCAGTTTGAAAGACGTGTACCCTTGACAAGTTTACGACGTAATTGAAAGGCGCGGCAAATTCGCATCCACCAAAAGCTTGTCATGAGATTTTCTGATCAGTATCTGGCTTTTCAGAATTTCTGAATCATAAAAACGATCTTTCTGAACTATACAACCAACAAGAAAAGCTGGTGCAGTCAAGCTGTTAATTTCACTATTGAGGGGACCGTGTGCAATATCCAGCTGGGTTGCTACGCCAGTAGTTGTTATCTCATCACTTATAGGCGAGCCTGATCAGCTCACATGATAATTCCCCTACGCACAGTTGCAGAAAAAAAGTAGTTTGAGTTCACATGCTCTTCAAATTTAGTCACTCTGTTTGGGTCTGGGAAACTTTGCAACCTTCATGGAATTTTCTTTACACCCGAAATCACCACTGACTGGTGGACTGTTGGTAAGAATTCGCGCAGTATTGAATGCATTTTCGTCAGCGAAGCATACCCGGAGACTGCGCCTATCTGATGAGTCCCAAAAAGTGCGGAACCGGTCGTTGGCTGTCGATGGATTTTCAGCAACCTGAGAAGTACAATACAAACACTCCCAACACGGCTGTGAGACCAGTAAACGCCATTGGGGTAGCGTTCACATGCGATATAACAACCAGTTGTTCATTTGTACAAGAATATGCCCGTATTGGTAGATAGCCGTTGAGGAAGTCTCTTTTTGCAGTATTCGGCAGGAAAGATAATGATCGTCGGCATATTCCAACTGGGGCATATGAAAGCATGGTTATCTACAAGCTGACTCAGTCATTCTTTTGGTGTGAAAGCTTGGCTAGGACAAAGACCTCCAGGACAGAGAAAGATTACGACAGACACGCAGGACAGTGTATCGGTCGATAATCTTATGGAACAAGGCGTGTGATGAGGCGACATATATAAAGGACATCGAGTGATCTAATCCTAAGGGTGAAGTTTCAGATGGCTGCCCTTATTGGATGAAAAATTATTTTTATGTGAAATTCTATCGGTCAAAACTAAAATATATTCACAGTGGAAAACACACCTTTTGATCGTGATATCTTTGTTTTTACGGGGGAGACGGCTCAGTGGTTAGAGCGCGAATTTACTGTCCGGGAGTTCCTTGGTTCGAATCCAACCTCTGCCTCTCGAGATCCTCTGTCTAAGCTTGGGCAACCTGGCAGTGCCCTAGTCCTCGTGCTTCCTTCTGGTGGCATGACATTTAGGTACTAAAAGAGTGCTAAAGTTGAACGTCGATCCTTGTTTACACTAACAATCTCCTTGTTGTTACATAAACTACAAACAGAGTGATGTCTATTAAAGTTTTGGCCGAATTCCTTTGTTCTCTTTAGAATGCGACTAATTATCACTAGAAGACAACCTGAATTTAGGTGCCGGAAAGGAAAGAGCTAGCGAATGGCCTGGTTAGAGGCGAGTTTAAGTCACGAGTTAGCTGAAGGAAAGAGCGACGACCAAAAATGTTTTCGCGAACTACACCCAGTTGCACACCGACTTGGTCCTAGTGGGAAAATCAGTGATTTCACAAAGGTTTTTTTTCGATAAGATGTACTGTGATGTATCGTACATCGCGCCAACCGGAGCATGAGGCCGCCTTTGTGCATCACATTCACGAGAGATTCAGATCGGTTTCAGGTGAAATTCCCTTTAAATCCAATTGGTGTGCAAATAAATGCATTTTTGCGAATGACGTCTAATTTGAGTTCCCGTAAAGCATAAGATTGACGGAAACTCCGCAACTGCGCCTACTTGATGGCCCTGAAGAAAGACGAAGCTGTTCGTGGGCTGTTGATGAGTTTTCACCAACCGTATGTGGAAATAGAACTTTTCGTTTTTACTGCTCACATTTGGTAGACTAGTGACTGTGTTTGTTTACTCAGCGAAAGTCTTCCACGATTTGTCACCACTCGCAACACAGCACTTGGCACTCTTTCACGGTGTAAACCAGTCTGTACGCCCTTCCTGAAAAATGCATTAGAAGTCAAATGTTAACTCATCAAAATCTTGTAAAGAAAGTTTGTTGGTTAGAGAAGACAACCGAGAATTCTATGAGGGACCATGTGCGTGACATCACAGTGTAGCAACACCAGTGTAGCCTCCTCATCAAGAAACGGAAAATCTAGGTAGTTTGGTAGACCCCATCGCTAACCTAACGTTGAGAACATCGTTACGTATGTCACCTTTTTACTCTGTTATGGAATACAGTATGATACTCAGGACAATAAGACACTTAACCGACCTTGTCTTTAGCCAGCATGGTAACTGGATAGAAGCCATCATTTTTATACGCATTTTACTGTTTTTATCGGTAGACTTTGTATAGAGCAAGTAAACATAGCGGAAAGTGATAAGGTACTCTCCAGTATAAATCTTCCCTACAACTTAGACGAATTTGAGTCGGGCACAGCAATCACATCGCTCAAGTGTGAACATGTTCGCCTGTTCAGACGTGAAAATTCAGATTCGTCCAACGTGCGTTGGTGGAGTAGTGGTTACACGCTTGCCTCGTATGTCAGGTATCCAGGGTTCAAATCCCGGCACGGCCATTGGATGTGCACTGCTGATGAGCTCTAATAAGAGCGAAACTCGAGTCCAGTCCTTCCCCCGTTTGGTGTGGACTCACCAGAATAATTACGTCAGAACAATAGCCCGACCGTTCAAACGAGAGTGTTGTGACTATCTATTCCCCAAAACCCCAAAATTACTATGTAATGGTCCGATTATTAATCATCCGACGAAGAGCCACGTGCTTCGAATACGTGTCTACATTTCAGTGATTCACGCCACAAAATGCCGATTTGGTTTCGCGCATGTATGTTCCGTTCTGTCCTCTGCAGATCATGGCACATTGTTTTTATTTATAATCTAAATTTGTGAGCACAGTACTTCTTGAGTTGTGTGTTAATGAATTAAAAATTCTCAGGCCTTAGTTCCTTTTTACTCTGAACAACACTCCGCACAAAGGAACGTTTTGTTTACTTATAGTTTATTACTTTATTTATGGGTGTTCCTGTCTTAATTACAGGTATCGCTGGATGCGTGTCCCGAACGGCGACAGCCCCACTGGACCGAATCAAACTAACCTGGCAGGCCTTGGGTGGTAAGGCAGCAGAAGGTGGCTTGATGGGCAGCCTGAAGAAAATGCTCAGGGAAGGAGGAGTGGCATCATTGTGGCGAGGAAACGGTGTGAATTGTTTGAAAATTGCTCCGGAATCGGCGATCAAGTTTCAAGCCTACGAAATTTATAAGAAATGGCTCGGTGAGATATACGGTGATCCGAAGAACGGCCCGATTTCGATGGAGACCAAATTCTTTTCCGGTGCGTTGGCTGGTGCCACATCGCAGACTATCATTTATCCCATGGAGGTAAGTGGCTGGGCAACTCGTAATTTTCATCGTCGTGTGTTAAAATGTACTTGAGTGTTGTATCTTGCGGTGGCCGAGCTATTGGTTACGCCTGCGCTGAGCCTGCCAGACTACGTGATAGGGAGAAGACAGAGAACTGCGTACACGGCTGTATTGCCAGGACAAAACATACAGAGCGTCTGCGTAAATATATAGGATGGCTAAATGGCCAAATATGGTCGTTCACTTGTTCGTTCCGTACAGCCAATGGTGGTGTTCCGGTCGTGAACATTCTCAGGCCCACTACGCTGGTCGTCTGTTGCTAAGCCGTGCTTGGTGAGATCCTCCAACTCACCTACTTTCCGGACGTGTCGTACCGATGGTGACCTTGGGGATGCGTCACTCTCTGCATATGTGGCTTTTTCTTTGTCTGGGCGCGCCCTGACACTGAGTGCTACCAGTTGATTTGTCCAATCAAGATCTCACCTGACTATGCTACTATTTTTAATTCCGGCGATACGCCACCTCGCAACACTTCATCTTCAACGTTATAGTACGACTTTGAAAAATACTCTTAGGAGGGGTATGGCTCTTTCTTTTTATCCCAAAATTTCCCCCGCAGAAACCTCGCCATTGGCTAGACAGAACAAATAAGCGAATGACCATATTTGTCCATCCTATACATTTAAGCAGAAGCTCTCCACGTTTGTCCTGACAACACAGCAGTGTCCCGGGTTCTCTGTCTTCTTACCTCACAGTCTGGCAGGCTCAGTTCGGTAGACAGCCACCCACGATAACGACACTGGCAGATGAATTAAAAGTGTCTTATTTCTGAATACGGGTTGCAGTCTCTTCAAGACGTGGATATAAGAACCAGAATTCTCATCAAGATTGAGCAGAATACAGATGTAACGTTACAGACTATTTCAACGCCTGATAGTTTGTTGATGGAATATCAAAATAACTGTGGCGTGACCTCACCTAACCTTTCCACAAGGTTGAATTTATACTTCCTTGGCCTCGCAGATCATTCTGTAACTGCTCATGTAACTGCTGTTTTGAAATGCTTTCTGTGGACATACGTTTCACATCGCCTTGCGAGTCCAGCTGGTTTGGAAGTAGGATACCGTTGAGTCCTTGCAGTTTCACCTTTTAGAGGACTTCGATTTGAGGGATTCGGTCTGACCAGTGTATGCGTATCCGCAGATATTGCATGTGAAATCGATCGAGGATTCGATTGTAACAGTCAATATGCCGCAGGGTCACTGTGAACCAGTAGGTGACGGGGATGTGTGGTCCAACTTATTCCGACCTGTCTTTCCTTACTGGAAGACAACACCTCTATATCCATAACGATCGTCACCTGAAGGAAAACCCTGCTGTTCTCATACGTCTGCTGCAGTGGACATTAGGACTTCACTTTTGTATCAACGCGCGAAATTATGGTTCGCTGCCTTCCGTCTAGCTGCTCGCCGTTAGCCATCCGGACAAGGTCGTCCAATCATCTTAGCGTTTGAAGTCAACGCAGTACACAAGCCCGATCACACTTTGGGTCTGATATGCATGTATAT